GAGGTTTAAAAGAGCAGATTTGGACTTTTTCTCCCATATTGGTTGGCCGAGGTTAAAAGCCCTTTTGGACGAGAATATGTAGTGAATTCTCCGTATGTATGACTTATCTTTCCGCAAATTCAATTACTATTCAATTGGCTTAGAGACACTGAAAACTCAGTCAAAGTTGAAATTATTGCAAAGACTCGGACTTGACCTTATTGAGCTAGTGTTTCCTTGGCATTTCCCATTTCGTGTTGCAACTATGTGAAAGTCACCAACTGCACTGGTCAAACTGCATTGGCCCTGCGCTGCTACTTCATTTAACTCCGTAAGTGGAATGGAGCGATGAGTGCCTCCTGAAAAGCTATCGTTATTTCGAACTCTCATAAAGAGGCTACGAACTAAACAAAATTGAAAAATGGAGAAAGCGTTTGCTTCTTTACAAGTCCATGCTCACGTGGGAACCACGAGCCCTGTTTAAGCAACTATTTTCGACCTATTCGGGCACATTGACCCACGCTCACTAAACGAGGACGAGAGGCAGGAAAAATGGCTCTGGTAAATGAAGTCGAAGCTTAATGGTAGATATATTAGGAAAAATAGTGTGAAAGAACAAATATCGTTCTCAAAGGCTCAACAAAATTTCCTTTCAGATTTGATGTCTGTGTGGGTCTTACACCAATAAGCTTCTTCATTATTATTTTGCTCAATCCGGTTTTCTTCGCTTGCATCCGAAGACATTAAAAGTAGATTGTTCGAGAATTCGAAGAAATGTTTTATTTAAATTTATAAGGATTTGTAGAGAGACGCCATATTTGTGTCCTTCTGAGTGGCACAAGTATGGCGGCCAGAACTAACAAAATATATTTCATTGAGTTTTGCATTAAAAAGCCTGTAGTCGTCTTCTGAAGGCTCAGAAACATCTATATGAATACTTATTCACATACGCTCAACTGTTGAGACTACGAAATCTCAACGGATAAGTAACTTTTTTTAACCAAGGTCACTGCGTGTGCACCGTGCATACACGTGAAATAACTGGTATGTAAGCTGCTGAAGGCCCTCTGCTGTAAATGAGTTCTCTTGTGGGTCTGCTTGTTCCCTGGGGGAAAATTTTTCTTTAATTCACCAGGAATAGCTGAAATTTAAGAGAAAAAACATACATGTAAGTTGGAAGAATTGAGTATTGGATCAACTCATTATCCCCAAATTGATATTTTTCTTTATTCTCGTCACCTATCTGGTTGATACTGTATTGATATTGTAAGGAGAAGTTCTGTCTTAGTCACTAATGAGAATTAAAAGGCGATAATCTTTTTCAAGCATGATACAGGCCTGTTGCACAACCCGCACTTCATGAACAAGAACTTGGTCAACTGACCCTCGCTGACTCCGTCCTGGCACAAGATGATCTTGGTAGGCTTAAGCTTCCGCTTAGCTTTGTACAACTAAATTAAAAGCTCTTTCACCATACCTGCCAAGTCATCAGTTCTTTCTTGCGCACCTTTTCCATTCCTGTGGTTTTGTGCTCGTACTCGTGCACAGTACTTTGTAGCATTGGCGTCCATACTTGCTACAACAGCAGCAATGGAAGGAATTCCATTTTCAATCGGTGAGGGGCTGGGTGACGTCGGCGCCAAAGATAATGACAGGTTCTCGAAAAAGAGGCGACTTTTCACCTGGATCTATAACATGATTAGTTCCATCAAGTTTGGAATTAATATTCGACGCGATGTTGGCGCAAACCTGGGTGGTGGTACGGTGTACGTGTTTTGATTGAACACACTGTCTTGGAATTCCAATAACATTGTCTCCGACACGTTTTATCTCTTGATAGATTTGTTTGCCTCTCTCGGGCAGAATAGCCACGATCAGTTCCACAACCCATATAGAAAACAAACTCTCTACCTGAGGGAATTAAAAAATGAAACAAAATTATCGAAGCCTAATTGAATTCAAACTCTACTTGTTTTGTGATGAAAGAGCTCCGATCAGTCTATTCTACGAGATGGATCTAACACAGGGCTACCTAGCGCTTGGTGATCAAAGTTTCTGTACAAAAGTACACCTTATTCGTAGCTTCAACATGTAATACGAAGGGGCATTTTGTTCTTTGCTCGTTGTTTGAGGCATGTACTATTCCACTACTGTTTCATTTTCAAGTTTCCAAAACACACAATGCAACATTCGTTGAGGGTCGTATTGATCGCCTAAGGAGCGCGTAATATACAAAAACAACACAAATGAAGCCATCTACAAGTGTCCTACGTGACGAAGAGAGAAAAAAAATTCTCTTTTACCTAAAAATACCTTGCTTGCAAAGTAGAGCCTTTAGGGCGTAAATAATCAAAAGTTGGATCGTTAGTAGCGTCACTCAATTCCTTTGACACCGAATCACTACCCAATGAATAAGTAAACAGCACTGTCCACTCATCCTCCTCCGAGAGGGTTCATAGTTTTAGCAAAGAGCATCCTTCTGAACTTTGTTCGGTGGATTTTTCAACGACTCTCGTTTCATATATGTGCACAGCGGTTGAAGAAACGAATACACAGCCACTATTCAGCTTAGTATAAA